GATAAAAAGTACAAATTTTATATTTATAAAACGAAACATTTACCCAATTTTATGTAAGGATATTTAAAAAAAAAAAAAAAAAGATTTCAAAATCTCAACCCAAGGCGTCATATAAAAACTCAAATATTGGGGGAAAACCCAAGTATTGGCAGCGCTGCTAGCAAGTGCACGAGTTAAATAAGGGAGATAATGCTTATTTATGCAACTACCAGAAATTGATAGCTTCCCCTACCTCGCTCATAGGTACGTTTCGTGTGTTTTCTTTTGCCTCTTGAAAAATTTAACGATCAATAACATTTAAAAGATATTCTGCTGAACATAAAGCCAGCTAACGAATTCGCGTTTGTAGTAAGAGATACTAGATACAAAGTTTTGTTGATTTGTATTACAAATAAACGGCGATTTCCCGATATCAAGCAGACAGCGCAACTATTAAGCAGTGCTCAGCGGGATTCTTAAAAAAAAAAAAAAACTACAAAAAAAAAACTTGTGAAGATTTATTGTAGATTAGGTTTGAACAACGGAACATAAGTGCTCCGTTCATCTTCTAACTCAAGTCTGAGTCCAAAGAAGCTCAGCACAGTGCACATGCTCTGTAACACTAGCGAGGATCCTGAAATACTTTGGGTAGATTTCTAACTCAAAATTGTGCCCGGGCAGCGCCGTTAGGCTACTCTTTTCCGCTCTCCTGTCAACTACGGCCGGTAGACAACAGTAGACGGCCGGTTAGTCGGAGTTCTGTCCCTTGGCTACAGTGCAATTTCAGAGTGGAAAAGAAGGGAACGAAACAATTGACACAATTACTGTGTGTTGGCGATAGACAGTGTGCACTGCCCTGCTATAATCATACGGTTTGGGTTAGGGTTAGAGTTAGGGTGTGGCCGTTAGGGTTAGGTTTGCGTTAGAGTTAGGGTTTAGGTTAGGGTGTGGGTTAGGGTTACGGTTAGTGTCGCCGCATTTCGACTTCGCACAAACTCATAGAAGCAACCCAAACCCTAATCGGCTCTCCTTTAAATAACGGTCGCTAGCTGGAAGGCGACGGCCGCTTAGTCGGAGTTCATTCCCTTGGCTGCAATGCAAATACGGAGCGGACAAGTCACGAATCAAACAACAAAGTGAGGTCGACATGCCTGCTAGAGCTAGACCACGCGCTGCGACTGACAGTAGCGACCGCGGTCTTGCAGCGCAAGACTCTCGTAGACCACGTGCTGCGACTCACACTAGTGACCGCATTTTTCCGACGCACGACTTAGTGACCGTAGATGTGAGACCTGCGGATCTGTATGTCGTAATGAGCGAAAAGCTTCCGTCGTTTCCATGATGTGTAACCCTAACCCAAACCGTAACCCTACCCCAAACCCTACCCCAAACCCTAACCCTAACCCTACCCCAAATCCTAACCCACACCCTAAGCCTAACCCTAGGATGACAGGTAACTATATCATTTGTTTCGTTCCCTCTTTACCACTCCATATTTGCACTGCAGCCAAGAGAGTGAACTCCGACTAAGCGGCCATCGCCTTCCAGCTAGTGACCATTATTTAAAGGAGAGCACCCTAACCCTAAACCTAACCCAAACTCTAATCCAAACCCTAACCCTATGATGACAGTAGGGCACTGCACGCTGTCTATCGCCAACACACAGTAATTATGTCACTTGTTTTGTTCCCTCTATTCCACTCCGTAATGCGTCGCAAGAAGCGGTAATTGAACGCGGTCGCTAATTTGAGTCGCAGCGCGGGTTCTGCAAGCCATGTCAACGTCACTTTGTGTTGTGATTTGTGCCTTTTCCACTCCGTAATTGTACTGTAGCCAAGGGACAGAACTCTGACTAACCGGCTGTAGTTTACAGGAGAGCCCTATTTTCGACTGCCAAAGTATTTTATACGTGCGCAACAATGCACACGAGCGTCCCATCTCACCACCCAGAGACCAGGGGGAATTACTAGAAGTCCAAGTTCACGTGAAAAAATCCCAACCCTTACCGGGGATTGAACCCGAAACCTCTAGCACTCGAGGCGGACACGATGCCTCGAGACCACACAGCCCCTTGTAGATTATCATCATCAGTACCGGTGTGGGTTCCGGGGCCTATGCCCTATTGTGGGGGAAAAACAAGATAGCTACTGGGCTATCCTCCGAAAAACGGTCTCACAATATCCAGGCTAAGAAAATATCCTAACAGGGCCTCAGTCATAATTAAATTGCGGAACTCTTTCTGGCGACTATACCGCCACCACTAAGAGTTTCCCCAGTGCCGCTACGCGCGGCATGGAGGGGATCTAAACTAGATGGCTGGGACTCACGAGCCAATAAAATGGAGGAAGCTGCAGGAGATGCAGTAGCTGCTGCTCGTGAGGCTCAGCCATCTAGTTTAGCCCCCCTCATTGCCGCGTATAGCGGCATGGGGAAAACTCTCGGCGGAAGCTTTTCCGCGGTATGCGGTGTAGTGGCCGGAAAGAGGTCCGCAATTTACATATGACTGAGGTTAGAGTATTTTCTTAGCCCCGATAATTTGGGACCGTTATTCAGAGGATAGCCACACACTGGCTCCCCAACAAGTAAGAGTCGACTGACTGGTGGCTTCCTCCTCCGATTTCAAAGTCCGGAGTACATCTGCCTGAGAGTCAAGGAACCAGGATACTCAGTCAGCATACCGATTAAAATAAGCCCCTTATATGAAGCAGATGTGCACGCAACACACAGATTCTGGAAGAAAACTAAAGTCCTGCGGTGGATGAACACCAAAAATATTCCATCTGATTTTACAGCCAGTGAACGCGAAGAAAAAGAAGATTATTATTAGTCAAAATACTAGAGCCTATGACAAGTCTTTAGACCCATCAAAGATACAAACAGCAAATAGAAAAGAGAAGCAACAACAAAATTTATAATCTGTTTAAATCACCACTGTGATCATGCAGGATAGTATACTGCAGTGACTGGGAATCAAGTGAATGGCAGATAAAACTAACAGTAACAGAGAGACAGAAACTGCACAAAATACTTGAATATAGTAGTAGACTGCTGGACAGCCATAAAGATGGTGGCGAGACAATAATACGGGCAGACCTACAAACGCTTGACGTGCACCAACTGGAAAGAGAAGGATAATGATAGAGATAAACAGAGGCAAGGGATACTTACAGAAGTGAACTTCGAGGGCTCGGAATGCTGCTGAAGATGAAAGTTTAGTTAGCAGGTGAACTTCCAAGTAGTGTTAAATCAGGGCTTTATTTTCAAGAAATGGAGGTGCGTGCTGTTACACACCGTGAAATGTCTAATAAAGGTGCCGGTACCCACACACAGTGTCTATTACCGTAGCTTTGAGAAAGGTGCCTGTACCACACACCACCAGGATAAAAGCCCTGATTTGTATTACTGGTAATATAAGTATTCACTAACTCAAAAACTTTGTGACAATTCTAACTCGAAAACTTGGTGACAATTCTATCTCAAAAAAATTGGTGACAGTTCTAACTCAAAAACTTGGTGACAATTGACAGATTTATAGAGCTTAGGGAAGACAAATAAGTAAATACCCTGGTGCTTGACAAAATAGCATAGATAGAACTAGACAATAGAACTGATAAGTGATTCTGATGATCATGTATTGTGGCAAAGACTGACGATCAAGAAACTTATCTAAACACATGTCACATATAGAGATGAGGAACCAACAGTCTGCATACCAGATCTGTAAAACGGCTGTTCTCTCAGAACTCAAGAACAGGACCAAAGTCCAGAAATGGATGAACAACCAGAACTTTCTTTAGAGGCTTACTGCTGGTGAACACGAAGAAGAAGAACTTGGTGCTGTACTGCACATATTATTTATCCCTATGTTTATCAGTTGGTTTTCTTACTGTTATATTTTTTTGGAGGGTACTTCAGCTGCTAGAAATTCCACCCATTAAAAATTTTTTTTAATGATTTATTTACTGCAATTTACTAGCAGTAAATTCAGAAGATAAAAAACAGAACAGGAAAGCAAAATCTGCCTATTATAAAATGAAGAAAATTGTGTGTAGTAAATTTGTTTCGTTAGGGTTTAGAAAAGAATTATGGCACGCTGTATAGAGCAAGCTTTAACATATGGCTGTGAATCCTGAACAATTAATAAACAGGCCTAAAATATCTTGAGGCCTCAGAAATCTGGTTTTACAGAATAATACTTAGAATTCCTTGGACAGCTAAGAACAATAACCCAGATGTTTTGAAAGGGGCGTGTACAGACAGTTTATCACAAACATCAGAAAGAGGCAGTCATCATTTTTTGGTCATGTTGTGATTCGAGGAAAACTGGAACATGTGACCACTGGAAAGATCTGTGGAAAGAGAGACAGGAAAAGATTCAAGACAGCCTTTTGTCATGGCATGGAGGGGTGTCAGCACACAAACTGATAAACACAGTTGGGGATTGCAGATTGTAGAGAGGCATAATTGCCCACGCCGGTAGGCAAGGTACTTGAGGATGATGGAATTGAAAAGACAGAGTGGCCGATCAATTTTTTTTTTTCCACAGTAAAGATTGGCCACAGTGGATCTCCAACACTGACTCTAAGCCTGGTTGTACATTCTGACAGAGTTGATATCTTTCTCGTTGTATCGCTGCCTACCCCTTTGTTTTTGTTAGTCTTGTTTCGTATAATCCCCATGTGGGCTCTGGGACCCATTGTATGGAGAACAAGAACAGACCCACTGCTTTCTCAACATGCATGTCGTAGAAGTCAACTAATTGGGGGCTTCCTTCGAAGTCGGAGTGCATCTGCTTACGTGGGCAAGGAACCGCCAACTGCACACAAATAAGCTAGTAAAATGGATGTACATGCAAAACTAGGACCTGGCACAAAGCTAAAGTCCTAATGGATTAACAGCCAGGAATTTCCACAGGGGCTTACAGCTGGTGAACAAAGAAGAAACAAATTTTGGTATAATTGCGTACATAGACATCTGACCTTTACCAATGAATACTCATCAGGTTGAAGCAGCGTCAAAGAATGGCAGGCACCCATCTCGACTATAGTAAACCTCACTTGATGCTTGCATTCACAGACAAGTGGCCTTGTCGATCATGGACTTTCAAAACTTTGGCAGATTTGTTGGGAAATCAGAAGTTCTCTTGTCGTGTTGCTGAGAAATCTTGTGGTAAAGTATATTTTTAAAGTAGTATCTTCTTCTTTTTTATTTTCTCCAGCTGTAAACTCTGGCGGAAGATTCTGGTTGTTCATCCACTTCTGGACTGCAATCCTGTTCCAGGACCTAAGTGTTGCGTGAGCATCCATTTTACAGATCTGATTTGTATGCAGACTGCTGGTTCCTTGCCACACAGGCAGATACACTCCAACTTCAAAGGAAGCTCCAAATTAGTCGACTCTTGCGACATGCTTTTGGGTAGACAGTGGGTCTGTTCTTGTTTTTCCGTCTAGGCAGAAATAAGGCCCTGCTTTGTGCTTTTCTAGCTGCTTCGACCAAAGACACATCGTGGTACTGTAGAGTTTCTCTGTTATCCTTCCATCTTGTTCTTAGTCTACCTCTCGCTCTACGTCCCTCTCCTCTTTTGGTATATGCCTTGAATGGTATAACATCAGAAGGCATTCTCTCCAAGTGGGCAAACCTTTTGATTTGCTGTCTTTCTATGTAATTTACAATTGGTTCTGTGCCGACTTGATCTCATATGACCTCTGGTCACTCCTACAGCATTTCTCAGACACCTCATTTCCAGGGTAAAGAGCAGACTACTCAGCAGAAAATGGAAGTCATGCAGAACAACCTGATACAGGATGCTCTTATGAAGAAAATGAAACTTAGATCGAAACTTAGCCATTAGAATCCATTGGAACACTTCCCACCCAGAACACAGTCCTGAAGACCCATGGAACATCTTCACATGAAAGAAACAGACCTTTATATTTAGACTGCATACTGGAAGGCAACAGACTGCAGCCACATATGCTGATAGACTGGCAGGTGCTGCGTTAATTGAAGATGCCGGCCCATGGATCACGCAGACATTGTCATTGCCCTTAGAGAGATAGGACGTTCTGGGGATTTTGGAAACAATATGTCCACATCACTGCTAACAATACTAGAATTGGGAGTTAAGAATGGCACAGCCAAGCATGAGAAGCACACCGGACGCATACATATTCTTATTAACCAACATAGGACTAGCACTATAAACCGCATGACGCTGATAAATGTTTTTTTTTTTTTTTCATCGAACACCGGCTGTGAATTCCAGTGGAAGGTCAGGTAATCGTCCGCTTGGACTTTTGGCTTTCACCTGGACCTGATTTTTGCGTGTACAACCGTTTTTTATTTCCCTGCCTCATGGGCAGCTGTACGCCGACTTCGAAGGAAGACGTCAGGCCTATTTCTAGGGTGACTGTGGCCATTGTTTTGTGTGGGTCGAGACGTTGCCTGATTTGTGTGGTGTCCACTTCGTCTCCTTTGCCGCAGGTATTGCCCCCGGAGTACCCCTTTGGGTCGGCCCCCTGTGGAACAGTTAGCCCTCAAGGGAAGGCAGGGGCAGATCTTGGGCATTCCCCGCCATCCAAGGAGGCATCCATGTATGCAGAGCCGACACATGGCGCTCTGGTTCTGGGCTCACCCAAGGAATCGTCACGTCCTGCACAAGCCTGCTTAACCTCACAACAGTATCAGGCCTCCCGCTCGACAGGGGCTGCGCCCTCTGGGGGTCAGCGGGAAGCAGCCCGCGGGTTTTGGACTTTTGTAACCACACAGATAGGTACATTCTTTTTTCTTCGCACGTTAGATTTCTTTGACGTGCCGTTAGCCCGACAGATTTTACATCCTGCATCAGGCATATCGTTATCAGTTTTGTCCCAACACTCGGGCGAGTGGTGTCTTTGGGTGTGGACATTCGGTCTTTTTCAGTTCAATTCAAATTTTGAGGTCAGATTTTGATCCGTATGATCTAGTTTTGTCGGAAATTTAGGCTTAGCCATCCGATCGATGGATGGTTGCTGTTGTGGTGTACCACAGCGCGGTGACGACGACACTGAGGGTTTACCAAGGGCATGAATGGCCAGCCTATGGATGGTTGCTGTTGTGGTGTACCCCAGCGCGGTGACGACGACACTGAGGGTTAACCAAGGATGTACATGAATGGCCAGCCTATGGATGGTTGCTGTTGTGGTGTACCCCAGCGCGGTGACGACGACACTGAGGGTTAACCGAGGATGTACATAAATGTACAGCCTATGGATGGTTGCTGTTGTGGTGTACCCCAGCGCGGTGACGACGACACTGAGGGTTAACCGAGGATGTACATGAATGGCCAGCCTATGGATGGTTGCTGTTGTGGTGTACCCCAGCGCGGTGACGACGACACTGAGGGTTAACCGAGGATGTACATGAATGGCCAGCCTATGGATGGTTTCTGTTGTGGTGTACCCCAGCGCGGTGACGACGACACTGAGGGTTAACAGAGGATGTGCAGTGAACAATGTTCTCTTTATTCCGCAGTCTTTTAACCAAGGGTTGTAATTTTGGCTGTACGTTTGGCATACCTACTCATGTTCCTAATGAGTTTTGATAGCAATTTTTTCACCCAAGCGTTTGGGGGCGGGCTGATGAGAGCCACAAGGACACATCACCTCTGGGGGCCGCCAAACTCCGAGATCCCCTGGCAGCTCTGTTAATGCTCATTTGAGACATTATCCGTGGCGCACGACGAGGACCTGCTGCCGGGGTCTTGCGTGAGGTTCCGTACAACCAGGATATTAAAGGACTGGCGCCCGAGTGACGTACGGAGTATCTCCTTATACACATCATGTTGGACTTAACTTCCCCTCACGCCTGTGACATAAATCACCGCGCCACATGGATGTGTCCGGAGTGCTGTGAAGATAATCTAACTCATAACTCTCTTTAACTTTTATACAAGACATTAGAGACTCAGAGTTGAGAACTTTGCCTGTTTGGACAAGCACCACAGAATACTGAACATGCGTTACATATAAGCTCTCTACATGCATTCGAGAGATCCCACATTTTGCTGGTTGGCCTTCCAATGTTTATGTTTATCAACAGATCAACGTCATGGCACATGGGTGCAACCCACAAGTGCTCCGTTCTCCTCTAACTCACGCCTGAGTCGGAAGAATCCGTTGCACTGGCGAGGATCCTGAAATATTTTAGGTAGATTTTTAACTCCAAATGTTTCCCCAAGTGGCGCCGTTAGGCTACTGTTTTTCTATTTCCAACTGCCAAGGTATTTTTTTTTTACATGCACAACAATACACACAGGCGTCCGATCTTACTACCCAGAGACTCAGTGAAATTACTGGAAGCCCACATGAAGCCCACATGAAGAAATGCCAGCCTTCATCGGGGCTTGAACCCTGTACCTCCAGCACTCGAGGTGGACGCCATACCTTGAGACCCCCAGCCGAGTGGAAACCAAGCTGAATGGATCAGTGAAAGACATGCCTCGAACCACAGACTTCATAGAGGCCTGTGGCTTTCTCCTCTAACCACCACTGGCTGGGAGAATGAAAGGAAGAAAAATGTCAGGTGCCATCTCCACAGTCAAGGTTGCCTGCAATGGATCTTCAGCACGCTCTGTCTTTCACCCTGAGTATATACTCTCTCATATTGCTGTTCATCCATCTCATGTTATCCTCCCACTAGTATTGCTGTCTCCCTCTTGTTGGATGCATGCTCTTTTCAGTGCTCAGGTGATTACCACTGTATCTCCACAGTGTCAGACTAGACAGTTGTTTCAGTTTCATAAGAAGATTTGCCAATGAACTAAGTTAGATCTCCTTGCGGAATCCGGGACTCCTTACTGTAAAGGGAGGGAGGGGGGGGGGGGGGGGGGGGGGGGGGGGGGGGGGGGGGGGGGGGGGGGGGGGGGGGGGGGGGGGGGGGGGGGGGGGGGGGGGGGGGGGGGGGGGGGGGGGGGGGGGGGGGGACTCATTGCCCACCTAACAAACAAAGATGAGATGTATAATATAACCAATTATGGGTTTTTCCCCTCATATTGGACTGAATCTTCCCGAGAGAAAATTAACCAAAAGTTAGCATACCAGATCAGTAGATCTGTAAAATAGATGTACACGCAAAACCCAATTTCTGGTACAACACCAGAGTCTAGAAGTGGACAAAACGCCGGAACATTATGTCGGAATTTACAGCCGGTGAACGTAAAGAAGAAGAAGAAGAGAACTAAATTGGTGCTATTAGCCTCATATTATTTTGTCCCTGTCCCTGGCTCTCCTGTAAACTACAGCCGGTTAGTCAGAGTTCTGTCCCTTGCCTGTTGTTTTCTTCTTATTTTATTATGTTTGTACTTCTTGCTGATCACAAAATCAGACGAACGCTAGGAATAAAGCCAGTCTTACAGGTCATCAAAGAACAACAAATGAAGTGGTTTGGACACCTAACAAGAATGCCCTGGTACTATCTATCACAGCAAGCCACACTGAAACATTACAACGGGTATAGAGCAAGTGGAAGACCTCGGAAAATATGGAGTGATGGCATTAAGAACAGCCTTACAGAAATGAACATCAGTCTCAATAGTGCTCTTAACAGAGCTCATCAACGAATGTTACATCTCCCCCAACACTTCACTGAGGTACAAGGTGGAAGAGAAGAAGATGAAGTTTGTACTTCAATTGTTAGAAATTCCATCCTACAGGTCTAAGTGGAAAAAAGTGCATACACACCTTCACACACACATGTTCTTGTTATAATAACTGGTTCTTAATTTATAACGTACCCCAAACACGAAATCCCCATGGGAAATCCACAGCTGACCTGACAGTCCATTATTTCAAGGGGTGGAAGTGTGCTGTTGTGTGGTGCTTTTTTTGAGTGTTCATCTAGTGTCTTCTAATGCTAACCCTAACCCTAACCCTAAACTTGGCTGTAGATAAATAGCGAGAAACTACAACCTGAACACCCTAGAATTTATTGGGAATGTCCCCCGTGACGTTGTCATGACGTCAGGGGTAAGTTATAAATTAAGTACCTAATAACTTAATCATTTGTATAACCTAGATAAGAAAATACACACCCTCACACACACATGCTCTTGTTATAATAACTGAATAATCATTTGTGTAACCTAGATCAGAAAATACACACACATACATGCTCTTGTTATAATAACTTAATCATTTGTGTAACCTAGATGCAGAAAATACACACCTCACACACACACATGCTCTTGTTATAATAACTTAATCATTTGTGTAACCTAGACAAGAAAATACACACCCTCACACACACACATGGTCTTGTTATAATAACTTAATCATTTGTGTAACCTAGATCAGAAAATACACACCCTCATACACATGCTCTTGTTATAATAACTTAATCATTTGTGTAACCTAGATCAGAAAATACACACCCTCACACACATGCTCTTGTTATAATAACTTAATCATTTGTGTAACCTAGATCAGAAAATACACACCCTCACACACACACATGCTCTTGTTATAATAACTTAATCATTTGTGTAACCTAGATGCAAAAAATACACACCCTCACACACACATGCTCTTGTTATAATAACTGAATAATCATTTGTGTAACCTAGATCAGAAAATACACACACATACATGCTCTTGTTATAATAACTTAATCATTTGTGTAACCTAGATGCAGAAAATACACACCTCACACACACACATGCTCTTGTTATAATAACTTAATCATTTGTGTAACCTAGACAAGAAAATACACACCCTCACACACACACATGGTCTTGTTATAATAACTTAATCATTTGTGTAACCTAGATCAGAAAATACACACCCTCATACACATGCTCTTGTTATAATAACTTAATCATTTGTGTAACCTAGATCAGAAAATACACACCCTCACACACATGCTCTTGTTATAATAACTTAATCATTTGTGTAACCTAGATCAGAAAATACACACCCTCACACACACACATGCTCTTGTTATAATAACTTAATCATTTGTGTAACCTAGATGCAGAAAATACACAGCCTCACACGCACATACATGCTCTTGTTATAATAACTTAATCATTTGTGTAACCTAGATCAGTAAATACACACCCTCACACACACACACACACATGTTCTTGTTATAATAACTTAATCACTTGTGTAACCTAGATCAGAAAATACACACACATACATGCTCTTGTTATAATAACTTAATCACTTGTGTAACCTAGATCAGAAAATACACACCCTCACACACACACATGCTCTTGTTATAATAACTTAATCATTTGTGTAACCTAGATCAGAAAATACACAGCCTCACACACACACACATGCTCTTGTTATAATAACTCAATCAATTGTGTAACCTAGATCAGAAAATACACACCTCACACACACACATGCTCTTGTTATAATAACTCAATCACTTGTGTAACCTAGATCAGAAAATACACAGCCTCACACACACACATGCTCTTGTTATAATAACTCAATCAATTGTGTAACCTAGATCAGAAAATACACAGCCTCACACACACACATGCTCTTGTTATAGTAACTCAATCAATTGTGTAACCTAGATCAGAAAATACTCACCCTCACACACACACATGCTCTTGTTATAATAACTTAATCACTTGTGTAACCTAGATCAGAAAATACACACCCTCTCACACACACACACATGCTCTTGTTATAATAACTTAATCACTTGTGTAACCTAGATGCAGAAAATACACACCCTCACACACACACACATGCTCTTGTTATAATAACTTAATCATTTGTGTAACCTAGATGCAGAAAATACACACCTCACACACACACATACATGCTCTTGTTATAATAACTTAATCATTTGTGTAACCTAGATCAGAAAATACACAGCCTCACACACACATGCTCTTGTTATAATAACTTAATCATTTGTGTAACCTAGATGCAGAAAATACACACCTCACACACACACATGCTCTTGTTATAATAACTTAATCATTTGTGTAACCAAGATCAGAAAATGGAGACACAGTGCTCATATCACAACGTCACCATTAAGGAATTCTGTGATTGGCTGGATGGGACAGCCAGTGACAGGAACCCGCTAAGGTCCGTACTTAGAGAAGAGAACTACGGTTACATAGACTACAAGTACATGAAGGATATGTTCAAGGAGCTCCCTTACATTTTTGATGAAGGTAGGTCACTGTGTGGCTTCTGGGGCTCCAGTTTTAGTGGGGTTGGGGAAGAGGAAAAAAAAAATAAGATTTGCTGTCCTCTTCCTTTAGCCTATGCCATATGGTGTTGGTAGTCATGCTCCACAACCTTCTCTACTTTCAGTCAGTCCTGACAGATGATTTTTTATGCCATGTATGTCAAACTGTCCATCATCTCTCTTGGCCTTCCTCCGCCTCTTTCCACTCCAACTGTCCCTTTTGTATGTTTTTCTATTTCATGACCAAAGAATGTTGATTGTCTCCTTCTGATATGTCTTTGTGAGTCAGTTTATTTGAAGACATCTTCTATACTATTTTTATCTGCCCAACCTATTCTCATCTCTAAAACCACATCTCTGCAGCTTCCAAATAATTGTTTTCTAATCTACTAACTGTCCATAATTCACTTCCATTTATCAGGATAGGACTTATATGGCTTTAAAGAATTCTTTTTCTCGCTTAAATTGAAATTGAAGACTGCGTAGAAGATTTTCTGCCCCCAAAAAGTGTAAAATGCGACTAATTCAAGGTTTGCTGAAATGTGATATGTTTGGCCGAAAGGTACGGATATTGCGAGCCTTGCTGTAAATATAGACCACAATGCAGCATGCCAGCTGCCTATTTAACAATAAATGCATAGGAAGTTGAAGATGGTAGAGTGGCCTTTTCTTCTATGTTTGTATGATGTTACCATCATGGCTTAGAAGTTGTCAGCAGTTTTGTAATTCTGACACTGAGCTAATTCAGATGCAGGCAGTACAGCAGCAGACCGCTTTGCAGTGATTTTGGCAACGGTATGAGCGTCAGCTGTTCAGTGAGCAGTGGCAAACTACTGAATGTCAGATTTGCTTATAAAACCACAGCCGACAAATGCAGGGGTTGTTCTGTGATGCCCTTTCCGGGGTTGGTCTGTGATGTCCTTGCAGGGGTTGTTCTGTGATGTCCTTGTCAGGGTTGGTCTGTGATGCCCTTGCCGGGGTTGGTCTGTGATGCCCTTGCCAGGGTTGGTCTGTGATGTCCTTGCCAGGGTTGGTCTGTGATGTCCTTGCCAGGGTTGGTCTGTGATGTCCTTGCCAGGGTTGGTCTGTGATGTCCTTGCCAGGGTTGGTCTGTGATGTCCTTGCCAGGGTTGGTCTGTGATGTCCTTGCCAGGGTTGGTCTGTGATGTCCTTGCCAGGGTTTGTCTGTGATGTCCTTGCCAGGGTTGGTCTGTGATGTCCTTGCCAGGGTTGGTCTGTGATGTCATCTTGGAGGAAGCTGTTGCTCCTTCATCAGCTCTTTTACCACTTGAGGTGTTCGGGGAGAGAGATAAGGTTCTGCTGCTTTCTCTTCTGGTTGCCTTGACCATAGACACATGGTGCATGAATGGTATGACGTTTTTCCTAGATAACAAAGCTGCTAGCAGCTCAAGAAGAATATCCACCTACGGATCAGCATGGATCATTATGTTAGTGAACCTGTGCATTTTTCTTTTTCTCTTCTTCTTTACTTCCTCTTGTTCCTCTTGAGAGGGAGGGGAGATATCAGTCTTTCCAAACAATAGTGTTATATTGTTCAGGCTATAAAAGCTGCTGGATCAGTAGAGCAGTGCTGTGTCTGTCCACCTGACGGAGCTTCCCTCCTAGACCAGCTGCCAGCCAAGGCTAAGGGCCTGGACTGCCCTGCCATAACACACATTTTTCAGGTTGTATTTCCTCTTCCTAGGATAATAGGATAAGATAGGCTAGGGAGATATAAAGGTCTACTTTTTGCTCCTCTAACCATCTCAACCATGGACACACTGTTCTTTTGTAGAGTTTCTCTGATGTTATCTTTCCATCTTGTTCTTGGTATGCCTTGTTCTCTATGTCCTTCTCCTCTTTTGGTGTACACTTTGTATGGTATGGCGTCACAGGGCATTCTCTGTAAGTAGGCAAACAATTTGATTTGTCTTTGTAGGTCATTTACAGCTGGTTCTATGCTGACTTTTTCTCTTTTGACTTCATTCCTGAATTTATGTCTTCTAGTCACTCTTGTAGCCTTGCTTACAAATCATATTTCCCTTTTTACTAATTCTTTTTTTATTCAGATTTGTTGTGAATGACCATGTCTGGCACTGGTAGCATAGGGTGGAAATGAATATGCTTTGTGCTGACTGTGGGGATTATCTTGTGCTGTAAGAGGGGGCTAACTGTTACAATACTTGGTTTGCTTTCTTGCATTGAATGTCAATTTCTTCGTCCTTCTTCCTTGCATTCACCAGCTGTCAACTCCAGTGCAGAGTTCTGATTGTTCGTCTACCTCTGGACTTTAGTCTTGTTCCAGAACCTGAGTTGCTTGCACATCCGTTTTACTGATCTTACTTGTTTGTATGCAGATTGTTAGTTTCTTGCATCTCAGACAGACGCACTTGGACTTTGCAAATTGTTCCATCTTCAGAGAATGTTATTTGCAGATATTTAAACTCAGTTGCCTGTTTAATGTTTTAGAGCTCTACTGCTATGTTTAGGTTCTGTTTCATTTTTCCTGTTGTCATTACTTCTGTCTTTTTAGTATTGATTTTCAAATGTGATTGCAATTTTATGGCTGTGTCTGCTATCAAGACCTGGTCATCAACAAAGAGTCATTCATTGATCTTGCTATTATTTACATTCCTGTGCTTGGCATCCTTGCTGGGATATACCATCGATGTAGGTGATAAACAAGAGTCTTGTTAAGACACATCCCTGTCTTACTCCATATGTTGCTGTGAAGGGTTTCAGTCATTGTATTCTCTGTAGTGGTAATAAATCCATTGCCTGCTTTCTAGGCCCGGTGCAGCTTCACCAGAACCCTGTTGGCCAGAACATTTCAGGGTGACCCAGGATGGGCTTCATGGCTACATAGTGGCCTCGTGGCACAGGGCCACAGCATACTTTTGGACATACATCAAAAAGTGTTTTCAAAACAATGGTAGGTATGTAAAGCACATTATATTGAAAAAAAAAAATGGTTTTCATTAAAAAAAGAAACAGTTAATTTTCTTCTGTGTAAATGCATGGGACACTCTTATGATTTGTTTTTGATCCAGGTAATCGTCATCTTTTGTATGATGTGCATATTCTTGTTTCCCCAGTTCGGTGGGAAGATTTTGGCCTGGTTGGCTACAATGGGTGCGATAGCACCATTTGGATAGGCAGTGAAGGAGCAAACACACCAGCCCACCAGGATACATATGGATTCAATCTAGTCACCCAGATTTATGGCAGGTATCCGCCTCTGCTTCCTCCTACTGAACTTACACCTGTTGTTAATGGTTTCTCATTCACAGGTGTCAATAAATGCTGATCTTCTTCTTCTTGGTTCACCAGCTGTGAATTCTGGCGGAAAGTCCCGGTGGTTCATCCATTTGGACTTTTGGCTTTTACCTGGACCTGAGTTTTCCGTGTACATCCGTTTTACTGGCTTATTTGTTTGCCGTTCCCTGCCTCACCGGCAGATGTACTCGGACTTCGAGGGGAATACATGTGCTGATAAATACCGAACTGTTGAATTTCCAGTACAGAGAGGCCCCATGGGGGGTAACTGCCCCTTAACAAAAGAAGTTGGTTGGGTGTCTTTTACAGGACGTTGCAGGACCAACCCCAGCATTTTTGTGTGTGTGGCTGTTTGTGATTTTACTGGGTAATTTTACATGTATTAGTCAGCCATTGCATTCTCAGCTGTTGGCTGTTGATACCACGCTTGAAACCAGTGCAAGGCGGTCTGCGGTCAGCACACAGTTGCGATTGAACCCGGCACCACAGAATTAAGAAGCTTGTTTGTAGTGCCTCAGCCATTGACATGGCCCGTAAGGCAGCTAATTAAAGATTTGGTGAAATCAGATGTGTTAGGCTAAAAGGTGCATATTTTGCAACCTAGCTATATACAACATTATTTACCAGCAGCTCTTATATGGGCATATGCTAAAGAACAACTGTTGTAAATAATGGGGTTTGCATACACACACCTGCATGCAAACATGGGCCCACAGAGAGAGAGAGTGAGAGTGGGAAGTGAGATATATATATATATATATATATATATATATATATATATATATATATATATATATATATATATATATATATATATATATATATATATATATATATATATATATATATATATATATATATATATATATATATATATATATAATATTGAATTGTCTGTTTTCTTGATTTGCTCATTTATTTAAAGGTTAAACATCTCTGAATACTTCAGTATAGAATTGTAGCTGTGAACTTCAGAACTTTGACCCTGATGAGATATTGCCAGATTTAACAGCTGGAGTTGGTGGAGGGCTTTTGCCTCAATATTAGGACAAGTGGAAGAAGACAAAAACAGTAGTTTTCTCTACAAATTATGCATCAGCTAAAACTAAGGACAACATCTACAAATGCTGATAAACACACAAGTAAGTCAGATCTGTGAACAAGACTAATGTCCAGAGGTGGATGAACAACCAGAGCTTTCTGCTGGAGTTTACAGCTGGTGAAGAAGATAACAGCTGGAGTTGGTTGAGGTTCGTTGCCTCAATGGGCGACCTATGGTGGAAGAAGACATAGATAGTAGTTTTTTTTTTAACAAACTATAGACATCAACTTAAACTAATGACAAATATCTTTTTTTTCAGAAAACTATGGATCCTGTTTCCCCCAGAAGACAGTGCATACTTGTACCCAACACGAGTCCCATATGAGGAATCCAGCATATTTACGGAGGTCAACGTAAGAAGGCCAGATCTTCATCATCATCCACAGTTTCAGGTACCTTCTTTGATCAGTACTTAATTAAATATTGCACCTGGTCAAAATCTGTGCAAGAATCAGACTTACATGTTACATAGAGCAAACTGGGGGACCTGGATATCAGTTTCCATAGAAGCTTATCCTTCAGGGATATTATGGAAACAGTTGTGGCAAAATGCTAAAAATTACTCATGGCTCTCAAGGTTATGGCAGCAATGGACATGGAACAAAGAATGCTGTTCACAATGTTTCAGCATGTGATCCTGTCGAAGATAGATTATGGACTTGGAATGCTTACCATATCATAGAATCAGCTGATGAAACTTGAATGCATACAGAATGAAGCCATGCCAGTAATTCTGGGATGTAAAAGAGATACCTTGATAGTATATATGCATTATACACTTGCACTGCCTACTATTGCAGATAAGCTTAAAGTTCTGCATGCAAAGTCATATCTCAGAGTAGCTGCAGACAAGATGCACCTCCTCCATGAAGCCCTGGGAAGAGCTAAGGGTCACAGACTGAAAAGAGGAAGGTCTTGAATGGTGCAAGCTGAAGACACAATTAGACATATGTGCAGGGTTGATAAATTTGTGCGAGATGAGGAGTGAATCAAGGTGTCCGAGCAAGTTTCAGACTTGTGCAGGGTTGATATCACTTTAGGTCGTGAGTGCAGGGACTGGCCAGCTGGCGCTGCAGAATCAGAAGTTCAACAAATGATTCATGACAATTCCCGCCCGGGTGATGTGATTATCTATACAGATGGCTCTGTGTTGAGAGGCAGATGAGGTGCATGGGGGTGTATCGCAAAAACAAATGGAAGTTGATTAGTGCAACAAAGCCTGGCATATGATACCACAACGTCTAGTTTGAGAATGGAGGTGGAGTCAGTCATTGCTGCCTTCTGCTTGCTTGAGAACCTGGTGTACACACATTTTGTAATTGTAACTGACTCACAGAGCATGTTGAGAAAGGTGGAGACAGGCATTCTCCATGCAGAGTGGCAAGCATCACTTCAGAGGTCCCAGGTAGTTAGCATTCTTTGGATATTCTCTCCAGGTCATGCTGGTGTGTTGGGAAATGAATAGGCTGATAGACTGGCCGGTTCTGCACCAGCTGGTGGTGAATTGATGTACGACAAGTTAGATATTGTGATAGCCCTTTGGGAGAAGTGAACGGTGAGGAGGCACAAGTAGATCATTACAGTCTGAGGAGAATGGCGCTGCCAGTTACCTGAACATCTGGACGATGCTCAATACTCAAGGAAAGGGTTCATTTCCCCTGAATTCTCTTATCAGCATTTGCCTTAGGGTTTCTGTTTGACATCCTCATTTCCTCTGTTTCCCATTTCAGTGCCTGTTTGGTGATTCTCTGCTTGTCTCTTCTCAGGATGTTTTCTTTATAGTATCATCTTCTGTATTCTAACTGTTGAAACTTTGCCCAGACAGTTCTCAAATTTCATCACCTCTGTTGAATTCATCTCATGTTATGTTCATCATTTTCCTCAGGCATTTTTTAAGCATTACTTAACTTTGTGTATGTCTGAACAACAAAGAAGCTTGGCTAATAAACAGCATCTCATCTCAGAAGCTGAAATATTTTGGTCATATCAAGTGCCAGAGTGAAAAAAATAATAACAGAAGCCATGGTGCCAAGAAGGAGGGGCAGGGACTGACCACCACGAAGATGGGCAGATGAAATGGTTTGCATAATTAGAGAGAAAGCTTTCTGACGCCATACCATAAAAACATCTACCAAAAGAAGAGAGGGATGTAGATCCTGAGGTAGACCAAGAATAACATGGAATGATAACATCAAGAGAACTCTACAACAGCACAATGTGTTTGTGGTCGCGGTGGCCAGAAGAGTAAGAATCAGAAATGAAATCCAATTAATTGTTTACTCAATCGTGTTTATAGATTACACTCATTTGTCCCTTCACCCCCTTAAAAAAAGGTTTTTTTTTTAAATATATGTCTTTTTTTGTTGTTGCCTGTGAGTGCAGTTTTCTGTAGAGTTACCCAGGCAGTAAGGTTCAGCAGGCTTTAATGGATGATCATTATGACTAAGGCTGTACAGAAGATGGGATTGACAGTTTAGTTCTAACATTCAGTAATTGCCCTTTAACCCTACCAGACCTGAGGCCATAAACCTAACTATCCCCTAAACCTGAGCTCCTGGGCATTAATGCAAAATTACCAACATGATTTACAAAAATATTAGTTACACGCAAACAAGTGGTTAGAATAAATGAAATTTGGAGATATTGTAGAAAATAGGTTTGCTTTTCATCTAGCGCTAATATTCCCCCTTTATGTGCCAGTCCACCCAGCAGGCTGAACCTTGTTTCACAAAGTGAGCACCAGATGTTGCTGTTTGAGGACACACCCCCCATCTCTTACTATAAATCTAGTTTTAGATCTATAAGGTTCAGGATTCTCTTCATCACTCGAGCTCTCACTGTCTGTCACTTCAACTGGGAATGTATTCTTCATGAAATTTTGACTCCTCAGAGTCTGAATCAACCAAAGTATTGATCACCTGTTGGACTATGAAAAGCCTAGACCCACTTCACTTTCTTGTCAAAGTGCCTGCTTCATCAGCCGCTCGTATCATTGTAAATTTTCAGAATTTTTGTACGTTTAACTTGACAAAGTAAATCCAGACGTTAACATTTTGTTTGTGTTTGTTTTATGGTGAAGCTCACTGATATACTTTTCGTTCGGTTTTATATCTTTCTTTAGAATATACCCACTATTATAAATATAATTTAAAAGTTTAGTTTTTTTTTTCAATTCCAAAATCACCCAGTGCTTTGATTTCTTCCAATTAGATATTGCTATGCTGTATGCCTGTATTTTCATGCTAAAGGATCTTTAGAAAGGATGTCACTTTTTTGTTGTTTTTGTACTACCATTGTGATAGCTGATGAAAGCTTTGTCTTTTCAGTCGGATTTTAGTTAAGTTTTTGCTGTTCTGTGCATGGGGTTTATGCGTTTAAATCTTTCTGTTAGGGTAAGTACCTTTTTTTCCCTTCAAAGGCTTACGCTCTGGAGGCCAGAAGTTTTTAAATTGTGACACAATTTTTTTCATGTATTACACAGTACCAAAAATTAGATACAACAGTTATGCTGCAGATTAGGAATATACTGGAAGAGCAGTATAGCGGTCTTAAGCTAAAACATGCTTGACAGGTTCTTCACATATTTATTTATCAGCCAGAATATTTACAGTTTTTTAATATTATATGCGCAGGGTTTGTTTCGCCACATCACGGCCAGATTACCAGTTGTAAAAACATTAACCACTTTTGCCATGCATATTATTTCCAACTGTTTTTATCTTCCCACACCCCCTCCCTCCTTTTTTTCTCAAAAACAGCTAAGCCATCCGTATGTGGTAACCCTGCAACCAGGCCAGACATTATATGTGCCCAGGCACTGGTGGCATTACGTGGAGTCCATAGAACCTTCTATAAGCATTAATGTCTGGGTCCCAGTGGTGAGTGGTGTTTTTATAGGCTTTTATTAAACTCACTTTATTTTTTTTTAAACTTAGGACATTAAATAGTCATAAATATTTACTTGTGGCTACAGTGTCATCAGGGAGCCGCCGTGGTCTAGCAGCTAGATGCTTGGCTCGGATCGGAAGGTCGTGGGTTCGGTTCCAAGCGAGGGCTGGATTTTTCTGTCATTGTCCAGGTCTGGCATTGATAGCACAGTGTTGGCAAAAAGGTTATTTCATAGAGTGCTCCTTTGGTTTCTACTAGCACATGTTTGTTTTTCAGTATTTCCCATTTGCCTAACCTCGCGTTCACCGGCTGTAAACTTTGGCATAAAGGTATGATTGTTAGGCCCAAGGGTAATCACGTTAAGTCACTGGTTAGAATTTGACTGATTAGTGCTTCTTGCATGGACAGTTGTATGTGGGACTGTTGAGGGCGACAAATCCTTTGTCACTATTCATCATAACCGATGTTTAACAAGAGTGCAGGATTGACCAGACATGTTTTCTGGCACTGAGAGACTAGTTAGTTATTCATACTGGTGCATATAACTGCCAAAGGAAAGACATTGCATCAAGTTTTGTATTTAACGTTATCATTTGAATATTTAATTTTTTTTTTCATTTCTTTGTATTCAACAGCAAAGACTGGAGAGTGAGGCAAAGCAATGAAATTAATAGTCTATTTAAATCACCACAAATTAATTGCATAGACTGACAGGCAGCATTGGTTGGGGCATGTAGAAATAATGGCAGTTAACAGAGTTACAACAACCGCATACACAAAAATGCTGAATAGGTGAAGAGGCAGACCAAGCAGAGTTACAGACCCTTGAAATCCCCAACTGGAAAGAGAAGGCCAGTCACACAAACATGGATGAAAGCTGGGGGATATCTGCAGCAAGTAACCTTAAGGGCTTGGAATGCTGAAGAAGAAGAATTTCTACTTTTTCTTTGCGTTCACTGGCTGTAAACTCTAGCGGAAGGTTCTCGCTGTTCGTCCACCTCTGGACTTTTAGTCTTGTTCCAGAACCTGAGTGTTGCATGCACATCTTTTTTACAGAGCAGACTTTTTGTGTGTGTAGTAGTCTCTTGATTCCTTGCCTCTCAGGCAGATACACTCAGACTTTTTGTGTGTGTAGTCTCTTGATTCCTTGCCTCTCAGGCAGATACACTCAGACTTTTTGTGTGTAGTCTCTTGATTCCTTGCCTCTCAGGCAGATACACTCAGACTTTTTGTGTGTGTAGTCTCTTGGTTCCTTGCCTCTCAGGCAGATACACTCAGACTTTTTGTGTGTGTAGTCTCTTGGTTCCTTGCCTCTCAGGCAGATACACTCAGACTTTTTGTGTGTGTAGTCTCTTGATTCCTTGCCTCTCACGCAGATACACTCAGACTTTTTGTGTGTGTAGTCTCTTGATTCCTTGCCTCTCAGGCAGATACACTCAGACTTTTTGTGTGTGTAGTCTCTTGGTTCCTTGCCTCTCAGGCAGATACACTCAGACTTTTTGTGTGTGTAGTCTCTTGATTCCTTGCCTCTCAGGCAGATACACTCAGACTTTTTGTGTGTGTAGTCTCTTGATTCCTTGCCTCTCAGGCAGATACACTCAGACTTTTTGTGTGTGTAGTCTCTTGGTTCCTTGCCTCTCAGGCAGATACACTCAGACTTTTTGTGTGTGTAGTCTCTTGGTTCCTTGCCTCTCTGGCAGATACACTCAGACTTTTTGTGTGTGTAGTCTCTTGGTTCCTTGCCTCTCAGGCAGATACACTCAGACTTTTTGTGTGTGTAGTCTCTTGATTCCTTGCCTTTCAGGCAGATACACTCAGACTTTTTGTGTGTGTAGTCTCTTGGTTCCTTGCCTCTCAGGCAGATACACTCAGACTTTTTGTGTGTGTAGTCTCTTGGTTCCTTGCCTCTCAGGCAGATACACTCAGACTTTTTGTGTGTGTAGTCTCTTGGTTCCTTGCCTCTCAGGCAGATACACTCAGACTTTTTGTGTGTGTAGTCTCTTGATTCCTTGCCTTTCAGGCAGATACACTCAGACTTTTTGTGTGTGTAGTCTCTTGGTTCCTTGCCTCTCAGGCAGATACACTCAGACTTTTTGTGTGTGTAGTCTCTTGGTTCCTTGCCTCTCAGGCAGATACACTCAGACTTTTTGTGTGTGTAGTCTCTTGATTCCTTGCCTCTCAGGCAGATACACTCAGACTTTTTGTGTGTGTAGTCTCTTGATTCCTTGCCTCTCAGGCAGATACACTCAGACTTTTTGTGTGTGTAGTCTCTTGGTTCCTTGCCTCTCAGGCAGATACACTCAGACTTTTTGTGTGTGTAGTCTCTTGGTTCCTTGCCTCTCAGGCAGATACACTCAGACTTTTTGTGTGTGTAGTCTCTTGATTCCTTGCCTCTCAGGCAGATACACTCTGACTTTGAAGGAAGCCGACAGTCGACTCTTACGACATGCTTTTTGGGGAGGCAGTTTATCTTATTCTCTTGTTATGCACACTGGGGCCCTGGAACCCACACGGGAAAGAACAAGATTTTGATTATATTTTAAACACTTGTTGATATTAATGGAATAATAGCCGGTCTATTTAACTGGTGGCCAGTGGGCAAAATCTAGCCCACGGAGTCCTGGCAAGTGGCTCCCGAATAATTGACGGTTGTATTGTATTAATGATCTTTCTATGCATTGGGCTCAGGCCTTTGGCCTGTGATTGTTCCCTTGAGAAGAGTTTTGGCCCGTGAGTAAATTTAGCTGAATAACTCAGATGTATAAGCTTTACCTGGCATTTTTCAGAAAGAGGACATTGACAGCCGTTTTTCTGAAGCCATCACTCGTTGCCTAGCTTCAGATCTCATTTCATCTTTGGACACAAGCAGTGCTGGACATCAACGGTCAAGGTGGCTGAACACCACAGAGGTAAGCTCATCTTTCTTTTTATTTTTAGTGTTTTCTGGCTGTAAACTCTGGTGGAAAGTTCTGGTTGTTTGTCCACTTGTGGACTTTAGTCTTGCTGCAGGACTTGAGTTTTGGTTGCACATCCATTTGACAGATCTGGCTTATTTATTTGCCTACTGTTGGTTCCCCACCTCTCAGGCATTTAAGGAAACCCCTGTATTTAGTCATATTTTACAACAAATTTGTTAGGGAAGTATTAGGTCTGTTCTCTTTTTCCACCAAAGTTTTGCCGGGAACCAACAAGTGAGTGAGGTTCCTCTTTAAAAGTTGGAGATTTACTTTGTTACTACTTCTTCCTATTCCTCTTCTATTTTTTTTCTCCTGCTCCATCTTCTTCTTCTTCTTGCACAAATGTTTAGGAGATTGGGATATTTATATTTTAACTAACAATGGTATTTAGGTTATCCTTTCAGATAAATGTCTTTTTTTTAATATAAAGCCAAGGTGACCTCAGATTTTCCTTGTGAGCTTTAGTGATAGAGGTCACTCAGTAAATGTGTTTTTGAGGACCCGGGTGAGGGGGGGTTATGCCATTTAATGCTACACCATGTTCATGTTTATTAATTACTCTCTTCATATTTCTTTATGTATTATGAAAAATGTTGGTTAATATAATGGTAATGAATATATTGGCCTGGGAAGACCAGTCCAGTCAACAAAAGTCCGCAGAGGTTGGATTTGTTGACCGCAGCCATGCTGTATAAATGGGCACAAAGCATTGACATCTTCGGATGAACGCAGACGAAGAATTTGTTAGTGACCTGTGTATATAAATTTTTTTTTCAACATTCATTGTTCTGGGATTTTATCGGGGTCATAGCTCATTTTTTTTAGTGTTTCCCTGGTGAGAGGATCGAGGGGTGACTAATGGGGTCGGAGAAAGACTGGGTATCTCACTAAGCTGTGAGAGAGAGAGAAATGGTTGGAAAGTTTAATGCATTTTCTTCTTCACCTCCTCCTTCTGTTCTGCCTGTTACTTCGTCAAATTGTTGGGAAAGGGGGGGGGGGGGGGGGTTGTAAGGAGCTTCTGTGTGCACTATCCAGTTTGTTGTAATAGTTGTTTTTAATTTCCTTAACCATTTCGCCTCACAAATGCTTAAAAAAAAAGGGGGAGGGGGGACCTGGAGAAAAATTCAAAACTATTTTACACAGATCGCTGATACATTTTTTAAACATTTATCTACGTAAACATTTTGTTTCAAATTATGCAAAGATATATTAAAGTGGTAATTAACAAATACAGCCTGAGGCATCAAATTAAATATGTATTCCTCCACGGCCAAAATAATATACCTCACATGACTCGTGTTGACCTCTGTCACTGAGCCGTTTTAGAAAAATTTGACGTCAACCTGGCTTTAAAAAGGCCATTGGGATTGTACGTAAACCTCCTTAGATGCTATTTTTTTAAAAACTATATTTATATGCTCGCCTATTAAACACTGCGCAGACGCACACAGAACCATTGTAATTTAACTATGCTTGTTAAGAGCAGGTCTCTGCAGACAGGAACATAATGTCGCCATTTATGGGACTGGGTCAAACAGGAAGTGACTAGATTGAATCTTCTTGAGGTGTCTGGGTTAAGGTTGTTCTTGACGCTATCATTCTGTATTCTGCATGGTGTTCTCCTTGCTCTGTGTCCATTGTAGTTATTCAGTGTGGCTCCTATTGGCAGTTGGTACCAGGGCATTCTCATCAGATGACCAAACCATCTCACCTGTTGCTGTTTAACTGTTTAATGTTGGTTTTAATTTTAATTGTTTAAGTGTGAATGTTGTTTTTCACTTTGCTGTGAAAGCATAGTGTAGTTGCTTGATTTTGTTTGTTTGTTTGTTTTTTAATAGAGCCTTGCTCCAACAGCCATGAACTTGATGTTGCTAAAGGCATCTTTAGGTCAGCTGTTGGAAGATGCCCATTGTCTGGTCGCTGATGAGAAGCAGGATGTGAGTGGAGATTCAGTGAATAGACATGAGTTATTGCAATATAAGGATTGTTCACATGGGATAATACTAGGTGATATTTCACATGGGTTAAATCAAGGTGACTTTTCACAAGAGTTAAAGCAAAGTGATACTTCACTTAGGATAATAGATGGTGACTATTCAAGTAGGTTAAATGAATGTGATTGTTCACACGAGTTAAAGCAAAGTGATACTTCACTTAGGATAATAGATGGTGGCTTTTCAAGTAGGTTAAATCAATGTGATTGTTCACACGAGTTAAAGCAAAGTGATACTTCACTTAGGATAATAGATGGTGGCTTTTCAAGTAGGTTAAATCAATGTGATTGTTCACACGAGTTAAAGCAAAGTGATACTTCACTTAGGATAATAGATGGTGGCTATTCAAGTAGGTTAAATCAATGTGATTGTTCACACGAGTTAAAGCAAAGTGATACTTCACTTAGGATAATAGATGGTGGCTATTCAAGTAGGTTAAATCAATGTGATTGTTCACACGAGTTAAAGCAAGGGGATCTTTCACAGGAGACAGCACCAGGTGATATTTCATACAAGGCTACACAATGTAGTATTTCACATAAGACAACGCAAGGTAATATTTCACATGGGACAACACCAGGTGATATTTCATTTGAGACAGCACAGTATGATATTTCACAGGAAATAGTAAATCAAAGTGGCTTTCAGCGCTGGCTAAATCAGAAAGGTGGTTTTCATAGAGAGAAAGAAGCCAAAACAGCAGCTGATTCTCAGACCCATTCTCAATGGACTAAGGATGATACTGGTGAAAGAATTTGTCAAAACGTCCAGGATTCACCCACAGACAGACTCAATGTCCTAAACAGCCAGACTCCTGCAGATCATTCAGAAGGAGCGACTGATAAATACATGTTGAGTCTGTTCATTGAGAAAATGAAAGGATATAAGATAGGTAGGGCTGATAGTCCTTTCCAGTGTGACATTGATGTAAGCTTGCCATTGACAGCAGCATTTGATTCTCAAGCATCTTCACCAAAGAAAGCTAAACTAGACCCAGGTGCAGCAGAAGCACTATCAGACTCGGAAGAGAACTTTACAGAAGCTTCATCTTCCAAAATAATCTCAATAAATCCATGCTCATTTGACACATATTTAAGGTTTTTATTCAGCTTGTGTAGACAAATCCGATGTAGACACTGTTTCTTAGGGTCAGGAGCAACAGATTGTATCACTATAAGCAATGCAGATAGAAATAATTTCTCCAGCAATGCAGATAGAAATAATTTATCCAGCAATGCAGATATAAATAATTTCTCCACCAATGCAGATAAAAATAATTTCTCCAGCCATACAGAGGGAAACAATTTCTTCACTCACACCAAAACTACAGGATCCAATGTTTCTCAATACAAAAGTAGTACAACTTCTACTGCAAGGTTTAAGACTTCAGAGGGCGGCAATATCAGCTGCTTAAAAGATGAATTCAGTGGAGTTTCTGACAGTCGTAAAAGAAAGGCTTCATTTGATTGTAAAGATAAACAGTGTGAGGAAGCTGGTGGAGATGCTTCTTACGCTGAGAATGATGAGAGGGACGTAGATAGTGAAAGTGTGGATTCCGGGTCAGTGGTAGCTGGAGATTGTAGTGAGTTGAGTCAGTCAGAAGTTGCAGAAATACTGTTATCTTGTACACTGCATCCTCGTGTGGTGGAGTTGATCTCCCAGTTGTTTAGAGAACGCTGTCAGCGCGGGTTGAATCAGTTCATTTGACAGTATAGAGATTAGTCTCTGCATGAACTGAAGCAGTGCAGATGACAGTTTAGACACCACTGTCTGCAAAGACTGAAGCAGTGCAAATGACAGTTTAAGACACCAGTGTCTGCAAAGACTGAAGCAGTGCAAATGACAGTGTAGACACCAGTGTCTGCAAAGACTGAAGCAGTGCAAATGACAGTTTAGACACCAGTGCCTGCAAAGACTGAAGCAGTGCAAATGACAGTTTAAGACACCAGTGTCTGCAAAGACTGAAGCAGTGCAAATGACAGTTTAGACACCAGTGTCTGCAAAGACTAAAGCAGTGCAAATAACAGTTTAGACACCACTGTCTGCAAAGACTAAAGCAGTGCAAATAACAGTTTAGACACCAGTGTCTGCAAAGACTGAAGCAGTGCAAATGACAGTTTAGACACCAGTGTCTGCAAAGACTAAAGCAGTGCAAATAACAGTTTAGACACCAGTGTCTGCAAAGACTGAAGCAGTGCAAATGACAGTTTAGACACCACTGTCTGCAAAGACTGAAGCAGTGCAAATGACAGTTTAGACACCAGTGTCTGCAAAGACTGAAGCAGTGCAAATGACAGTTTAGACACCAGTGTCTGCAAAGACTAAAGCAGTGCAAATAACAGTTTAGACACCAGTGTCTGCAAAGACTGAAGCAGTGCAAATGACAGTTTAGACACCACTGTCTGCAAAGACTGAAGCAGTGCAAATGACAGTTTAGACACCACTGTCTGCAAAGACTGAAGCAGTGAAAATGACAGTTTAGACACCAGTGTCTGCAAAGACTAAAGCAGTGCAAATAACAGTTTAGACACCAGTGTCTGCAAAGACTGAAGCAGTGCAAATGACGGTTTAGACACCACTGTCTGCAAAGACTGAAGCAGTGCAAATGACAGTTTAGACAACACTGTCTGCAAAGAATGAAGCAGTGCAAATGACAGTTTAGACACCAGTGTCTGCAAAGACTCAAGCAGTGAAAATAACAGTTTAGACGCAAAGACTGAAGCAGTGCAAATGACAGTTTAGACACCACTGTCTGCAAAGACTAAAGCAGTGCAAATAACAGTTTAGACACCACTGTCTGCAAAGACTAAAGCAGTGCAAATGACAGTTTAGACACCAGTGTCTGCAAAGACTCAAGCAGTGAAAATAACAGTTTAGACACCAGTGTCTGCAAAGACTGAAGCAGTGCAAATGACAGTTTAGACACCAGTGTCTGCAGAGACTAAAGCAGTGCAAATAACAGTTTAGACACCACTGTCTGCAAAGACTAAAGCAGTGCAAATAACAGTTTAGACACCAGTGTCTGCAAAGACTGAAGCAGTGCAAATGACAGTTTAGACACCAGTGTCTGCAAAGACTAAAGCAGTGCAAATAACAGTTTCGACACCAGTGTCTGCAAAGACTGAAGCAGTGCAAATGACAGTTTAGACACCACTGTCTGCAAAGACTGAAGCAGTGCAAATGACAGTTTAGACATCACTGTCTGCAAAGACTGAAGCAGTGCAAATGACAGTTTAGACACCACTGTCTGCAAAGACTAAAGCAGTGCAAATAACAGTTTAGACACCAGTGTCTGCAAAGACTGAAGCAGTTCAAATGACAGTTTAGACACCATTGTCTGCAAAGACTGAAGCAGTGCAAATAACAGTTTAGACACCAGTGTGTGCAAAGACTGAAGCAGTGCAAATGACAGTTTAGACACCACTGTCTGCAAAGACTCAAGCAGTGAAAATGACAGTTTAGACACCAGTGTCTGCAAAGACTGAAGCAGTGCAAATGACAGTTTAGACACCACTGTCTGCAAAGAATGAAGCAGTGCAAATGACAGTTTAAGACACCAGTGTTTGCAAAGACTGAAGCAGTGCAAATAACAGTTTAGACACCAGTGTCTGCAAAGTCTGAAGCAGTGCAAATAACAGTTTAGACACCACTGTCTGCAAAGACTTAAGCAGTGCAAATGACAGTTTAGACACCAATGTCTGTACACACTGCAACAGTACAAACACAGTTTAGTTATTAATATCAGTGTAGATTTAACCCTGTTGCTCAGAAGAGCCACAAAACTGACACTTCAAGCTGGGTGCAAATTCCCTGGAGAGTCACTTTTCTGACTTGGCTAGAGTTGCCAGTTCACAGGAGGCCTTGCTAATGGCAGTGTTGTTGCTTGTGCCTGCGCACACTTTCGGAAGGACCAGGAATGACTAACATTTGCTAAAATAACATTCAGATGGGTTTCCTGGAAAAAATAAAAAGGCTTTTATTTTTAGAAATTAAGACACAATTTTGACATTGGTCGCGTTGTTAACCTGTGACTAGGTCACGGGTTTGAAATAAGGCACCTTAACCATTTATTTTACACTTGCGTAGATATGACCCGATTAGTTCTCTGCTACCTTCATGTTTACTGATGACCCCCAGTATTATGTGAGGAATTTAATATTGTATTGGTAGATAAGTGAAATTATGATTTGTGTGTGTATGTGACCAGTGTAAAATGTTTTTGTTGTTGTTAAAGGGATTGTTTCGGTAATTCCCTAATTACAGGTCATTGGCATTGGTTTTTTTTCCCTAGGTTCACTGAGGCAACAGGGTTAGACATAATAATGACTCGGTGTGGAATCTTTATTATTAACATTGTATAGATTTACCTTGAGTATTTTTGATGACATGACTATAAATAATAACAATTATTTAACATTTCATATTGTTATTATGTTCTTTTCTTAACTTCTTTTTTTTTTCAAATAGATTGCTTCAACATTTTAGAGATATGGCTTATTTATTTCCAGACTGTTGGTTCCTCTCAGGAAGATACACTTCAACTTTTTAGCAAACACATCTTCAGCTCACTTTTGTGCGCCATTGTAGGATGATATAATGGATCCACTTGAACCAAAATAACTCACATTTGTGCACCCTTGTAGGATAATATAATGGATGTACTTGAATCAAAATAACTCACATTTATGCACCATTAAAGGATATAATGAATCTTTAGCCAAAATAATTCACATATGTGCATTATTAAAGGATGATATAATGGAACTAGTACAACTCACATGTGTGCACTGTTAAAGAATTTTATTACAGATCTACTTAAACCAAAATGACTCACATTTGTTTACTGTTAAAAGAAGCTGAGTCTGGTAAGTTTAGAATAACAGTGTAGAATTTTGCAAAATAAGGAATGCTTGCTGCACTTGCCTGATTGGAAGGTAGCTACTCAGACATGCATCTAGTCTTAGATGATAGAAGAAACAGAGAAACAGCACGGATGTTGTGATTTTTCACTCTTTTGGTACCAGGCAGCTCACAGTGCATTCCTGGATTATTTCCAGTTGTCTTCTATAAGGCTTCTATAACTGAAGAGTGTTATATTAACCCTTTGAGTTGAGAGAGCAGATAAGCTGGCAAAAGCCAGGGAGTGATCTTCCACAATCTCGCCTACCACACAGCTACAAGGAAATCAAAACAACCCTAAATCAGGGGCTGGAGAAGGCTGAATTGAGGCTACAGACCAGAGAGTGACAGCATACTCAAATGAAGAAGAACAAACATCATTTGTAGGCTTCAGACAGGACACTGTTGTCTTAGAGCACACCTACACAGGATAAGCGTAAAAGAATCTGCTGCCTGTGATTGCAGAGTGGAAAGACAGACCCCTGAGCACATACTGCAGGACTGCCCTAACTAGTCCCACCAAATTTTGTGGATCTGGTTAAAGGGAGACCTGAGACGCATAATCCTGTTTGTGACCTAGACTGGACTAAATGTTTAGCATGGCTGATGTCGAATAAAGAAGAAGAAGAACCATTTGAGTCCCTAGCAGGCCTGCCGATATGGTAGTTTCAATAAAATTTGGTACTGTTTTAAAAAAAAAAGTTTCATCAGCCTTTATCCCAAGTACTGTATGGTGTGTGATGGCTTCTTATCACCTACTCACATCCCATTGCATTATGTGTTTATTTATATCTGGTGACAACATATTAATGTATAATATATCTGGCCATTCCATTGTGTATTTAGTCTCTTTGAAAGTAATGTAGTCATGGTTTTATTATAAGGGTCATTTGCCTGCCTTCTTGGGCACCTACTTAGAAACCATCTGATATTTAAAGAATTTACCCTACTTTCTGGATTAATAGTTTATCTGCTTTGGCTCTGTGATGACTGTTGAAGATGGTATCACATACAGGTAATGCTGATGTGTTGGGAAACCAGTAGGCAGATAGACTGGCTGGTTCTGCACTCGTCTTTTCTAACATCTAGTTTGAGAATAGGGGTAGAGACAGTCACTGCTGCCTTCAGTTGGCTTGAGAATCAGCTGTACGTGCATGTCATAATTGTAACTGACTCACAGCATATGTTGAGAAAGGTGGAGAGAGGCATGCTGCATTCTATGTGGCAGGTGTCGGTTCAGGGTAGATGGTGTCCTTTGCATATTTTCTCCAGGTGATGCTGGTGTGGTGAGAAATGAGCAGACAGATAGACTGGCTGGTTCTGCGCCACTTGATGGTGAATTGATGCATGGCTAGCTAGATGTTAACAGGGCCCTTTGGGAGCTAGTGAACAGTGCATAGGCACAAATAGATCTTTAGAGTCTCATCAGAGTTGTGCAGCGAGGAGGGTCCATGGGATCTGGCCGATGCTCAAGGAAAGGCAAGACCGATATACAATCAGACTGTTACTGACACCATTGGAATTTGAACTCTGTGCTTGCTGCTGAAGGTGGGGTGCTTATGGGAATGCCCTAAGCGATGTCAGGTCTGTTCTGAATTCAGCATATGCAGTGTCTGTGAGGAACTAGTTAGTTAGTTAGTTAGTTAGTTGGGTTATCATCATTGCACTCCGGACATGTCCATAGGTGCTCAGATCCTCCCCTCAGTATGAACCCCAGCGTCTGATGGCTAATAATACCAGTTCTATGTTGATTAACAAGTCTTCTGGTGTGCGTCTCGTTTTTTGCTATGCCGATTTTAATTCCCAAG